GGGCCAAAAGATTGGGCCACCAATTATCCGGGTTCATGTTCATGTGTGTGGGAAAACGTTGAGGCCACTTGAGGAGAAGTTTATGGAGGATTAAGGTAGCGGTTGCTAGAGAGAACCTTCCATGCGACTGGAGGATGATTTATAGATGCATTTGTCATGCAGCAAATCGAAGGAGAATCAGGCTCCAAGGAATTGCTCCTTCGCTTGGATCCACATTTGAGCCAAGCCAAAGTTTATTTGCCAGCCAGAGAGCTCAAAGGGTAATGAAGACAGCCATTTGGCATCCATTCCTATCCTGCCAAGCCATCGATTGTCCTGCAGCTGTTTGTCCAGCGCTATCAATCCTTGGCTGCTATCAATCCGAACAATCGGTTAACACTTCAGCGGACGGACCAGCAGCGGCTTGAACTCCAGGCTGTCTCCAGTGCTCCATTGTTTTGCGGGTCAGAGACACATAGAGGAGGAAAATTTGCATTTTGGCCACAGGTTGGCGCGACTCTGCCACCAAAGTGCTTGTTGCTGCCTCTCCCTGGGCCTTGCTTTCTTTATGACCCATCCGGACGATGTTGCAGCTTTGCAGTTTACAGTCTAACAGTTTTTTTGTTGTCCTCTTTGCATTTTTGCAACCTCTTTTCCGTGCTCTTTTCACAGCACTTTTTCGCTGCTCTTTACTGCCTCTTTTGCTTGCACTTTTGCACCTCTTTTTCCCCCTGCTCTTTACTGCCTTTATTGTATATAGATTTTTCACTATGGCCTTTTGTTCGGCAGTGAAAAACTTTATTTGATTCTATTTTCATTTTATTTGAATTGTGTTTTCTGCGGCTTTTATGGCGCGACCGACCGACTACTCTCTGGCAGAGATTTGTGTTGTGAAAGTTGTGGCCAATACACAGTTTTTGGGCCGCCACACAATCATCGATGAGAAGAGGAGCTCTGCCGCTGCTGCTCCCTGCTCCTCCTGGTCCTCCCTGTGTGCCGCTGCCTTTTGCTGGTGATTGTAAAACAATAAAAGCAACACCTGACTGCCGTTTCGTTTCGTTTTTGGGGTTGCAACTAGGCAACAATGGCGATGACTTTGTTGGTGGCCCAAACAGCCAGCAGATCTTATCCTGGCCGCAGCCAAAAATGGCCAAAAATACAAACAAAAAGCGAAGCTTATTGTTGGATAGACGCCAACATTTCAATTGCGTTTGCACAGAGTGCGTTTGGGTTGGATCTGCTTTTGACACAACACATTTGAGGCGGCAAAAGTGGGGGACAGGCTGCGCTTTGGGGGAGCGGCTGCTGCGGCAGCAGAGATGGTTTAGTCTGAAATTAAATCTAAATCTAAATAAATAAAAATCGTGCACTGTTAAGTGAAAGGCAACGAAAGACGACGATCTGCTGGTGCTTGCTGCTGCTGCTGCTGATGCTGCTGTTGCTGTTGCAAATTTAATCAATTGATGAGGCAGGCAAGAAACAGCATTGGTTGCACAGGTTGCACATTGGCTGCAGCCCGTTGCTTTTATTGTTGCTTGTCGATGGCTGCCAAGCAATTTGGATTTTGTGGCACCAACAAAACCTGACCAAAAAGACATTTACATTCTACTGTTTCTACTGTTTCGACTGTTTCTGCTGCTGCTGCAAGTGTCGTTGCATGCAACAACAACAACAACAAAACACCACTGCCTGCCTGCCGCACACTTTACACGCTAGAAACCGTGACTTTAATTTTCTTTCATCTCTCTCCCCCAATCACACTGCCAGCCTGCCACATTTTCCTTTTTTGATTTGTTTTTCTTTTTTCTTCTTTCTTGCAAGCAATTTTTTCCTCTCTTTTATATAATTTCCCATTAAATCGGCTCGCAATGTCGCACAGCTTTTTGTGGCAGCCACAGCAGCAGCAGCAGCAGCAGCGATTGTGTTTCTGTGGCATGCTTTTAATTTGTAATTATATTTTACTTTCGTTTGTCTCTTGGGGCCATGATTTATGGCCCACAAAAAGAGAGAAGTCCAAAATGTCCGAAATCTTTCGAAATGGCTAAACGGCACAAGCAATTGGAATCGTGAGCTAAAGCGCTTGTCAAATTAACAGCCGGATGAGGTCTCGATTGCCAATGGAGATTCAGAATAAAGTCGATCGTCAGATGACAGCCGGAACTCTCTTTCTGCCATAAAACTGTCTTTGGAGGAGGGTTTCCTTGCTGCTGTCTTGGTCGTTAATTTATTGAAAAATGTACCAATTGTTATGCCGCATTGCTATCCTTTTGGGTGCTAAAAGTCTTTGGGAAAATAATTATTTCACAGGGTTTTACATGCGCAAAGTTCAAGTCAAAGTTTTCCAAAATAAAACCCAAAAAATCATTGAAATTGAAGGCTCCTTTTCCTTAAAACTTTCTTATCTTACAAACAGCAAACGAATCACTTTTCTCCCTCACAAAAAATCAATCCTTAATGGCATCAATATCTATGTGTATCATCCAAACTCTTCGTTTGCCCCCCAAAAACCGCTTTTATTTCCTTTTCTTTTACTTTGTAGTTTTGTGGTTGTTGTAGCTTTGGTTGTTGTTGCAGCTGCAGACACGCAATAACAGGCAAGATCAACAGCCAAAAACACCCACTCGTTGGCTTGTGGCAGGCAGCAGCAGGTTGTAGCACGGAAAATGTGCAACCAATTTCGAAAAGCAATGCAATTGACAACATGCCACATGCGGCAACATGTTGCTGCAACATCGCGAAATACCCATTGATTAGGGTGACCCTTGTAGTGGGTGCCGCCTCTCTCCTTGCCACTTGCACCCCCTCACTGACTGTTGCTGCAGCTGTTACGACTGTTGCCTGTCGTTCAATTGATTGAATTACATACGTGCCACACGGCCACGGTCTCCTGGCATTGCCACTGACTCCTGACTCTCGTGCCTGTTGCTGCCTCCCTTTGTGGCAGACCTTTGCGTCCACCTCCGCAAAAGTAGAGCCTGACTTTTGAGCCTTGGATTGGCAAAACATTGCTCGCCATGCCAGACCAGAGTTTGGGGCCAGAGTTGGAGCAGCCCGAGGGCCAGACTTTGGACTAGAGTTGCAACAAGTCTGGGGGCAGAGTGCGCACCAGAGTTTTGGGGGCAGAGTTGGGTGCCTGGTTAGCCAGTTAATTAGCAGCCGTGTGGCAGCCATTAAGAGTGCTCTTGCCGCACTGTCCTTGTGCCACTTGTGAGTGGGAGCAATCAAATCTGAACTCAAGGATGGCTTAAGATACGAACTGAGAGATAGGCGTGCTATTTGGACTAGACATAATTCCCACAGAGAGAGAATGTCTTTAAAGTAGGCTTAAGATACAGCTGAAAGTATTTGCCACAACTTGTGATTCAAGTATCTTTATCTGCGAGATACAGTAGCCGCCATGCATGTATATTTGATCGTTAAAAACAAAATCCTTTAAGCGGCTTGTGCAGTTTTTGGGGGGTGTCCATTCGGAGCACCATTAGCATTGGTTGCCTCCAATCACTCAGTGTCCAATTGCATAAGCCATCAACCCTGCCACATGCCACTGCACCCCGCTTGCAACATACCCTCTCCCGCAGCAAGAACAAGCCACAGAAACCACAGCCAAAAGCCAGCCGCAAATCGACGACGAACTTGTCCTTAAAATGTCAGCCAAAGTGTTCATTAATTTGTGTATCGCATGTCTCTCTGTCTCTCTCTTACTCCCTCTATCTCTGCTTCTCCCTCTTTATGTGTTGCTCCATTTTGTTGCATGTGTCTGTCTGTCTGTGTGTGTCTCTAGTCATTGATCATGAATTCCATGAGCTTTGGCACTCGCCGTTGCCGCTGGCGTCGACGTTGCATGCGTCATTCCCCCTTTGAGGCTCATACATGCATATGCCACCAGCAATTGGCGACACAATTTTTGTGGTGCCTGCCTTTGGCATGTGCCTGCCATGCCTACCACCCTCCCTCCCAGCAACGTGCCACAACCTACGCAAGAAAAATAATCTCCGTTCCGTTGAATGTTTTCGACTGTTCCGACTGACGGTTCGCCGTTTGTCGTTCGCCAGTAGTTTGTAATTTTCATGTAAAAGTCGCGCCACTGCTGCAGCAGTGTTGACTGACTGGCAGGGCACGCCTCCCCCCCCCTGCGCCATCGCCCATGCCTCTGTCAGCCCTGATTCCAGAGCCCAAGGCCCCCAGAGTCGGTTTCTCTTGGAGTCTCTCTCCCGGGCTCCCCATCAATCTCAATTGCTTCGCATTTTCATATGCGACTCTTCGATCATTTTGCGGCATGGAGTGACAGGCAACAGGAACCCATACAAAAGACACAACAACGGTAATAAAAATTGCAGATTTGTCACAGCATTTGTTGTTGTTGTTGCTGTTGCTCTTGGCCTGGCCTGATTCTTGGCTCTGTTTTGCCTACGTCGCGTCGTGTGCCTGTAATTACTTTTTATTATGTGTTTTTCTTTTTCTTTTTTTCCATATACCCTTTGCGGCAGGGTATTGTGATTTGAAGCGATCTTTGGAGTGCAGAGAGACTCAGAATTGTATGAATTGGGTAATTTTAGGGATATTTTAAACTTTATTTTACATACAATATATTTTCTACGCATTCTAAAGTTTATTTTACTTCTATTTACTTCCTCCTCAGTTACATTCTCCAATTGATTGCACTACGCACAATACCCCCTACCGCCACTGTACCAGCAAGTCGCCTACAATAGCGTTCTTTCCATTGGGAGAGTGCAAAGCAGAAGGCACTCTCTGATTTTGTTCTAGTAAGATACGGAGATGAAGCCAAGCAGAAACCTCGACCATTACAATAGGAGAGGGGGACGGCTGCAGCAGCCAAAACTTCTTTGCAAGTGTCGAGAGAGACGAAAAAGTTGGAGAGCGCAAAGAAGAACGCCAAAAACCTTCGTTGCATTTGGAGAGAGAGTCGACTACGTGCAGACCCGAATGCGCCAATTTACAGCAAGAGCGAGCAATTATGAAGCAAAGAGGAAGAGAAGGAGAGCTAGAAATGGGAGAGATCATTTCGCTGCCCTACGCATCTGTACCAGCAGTGGTCAATTTTCAATGTCAGTCACACATCAGTCAGCGCAGAGGTTAATTTAGTAAAAGTGAAAAAAGTGAAAATTGTGCAGTGAAGTGAGCGTAGTGAAGTGAAGTGAGTGTAGTGATGTGCAGTGTAAAGATGTGCAGTGTAGTGATGTGCAGTGTAGTGATTAAACAATTAAAAGTATCCCAACAGCCAGGCGTCAAAGTGTTTTATAGTGAAAAGTGTAAAAGCTGCTAGTGCGGGTGCGGACCATGTGCCGAATATGCAAAAGTGTGTGTGCCAACAGATCACTGAAAATGTGTGCTAAATCTAATATATTAATAATGAGCATATTCCATTTTTTTCTTGTGCAAAACGCAGCTAAAATCAAACGGCACATGGTTCCGTTATGTCTGTAGATGCCTCAGATGTGTTCGTTTATCATATATGCGGTGTTTGTGTGTGTAAGTGATAGAACGCAAAAGCAGTAGCAAAACGCGATCCAAGCCCAAAGAGCGGAGCAGAGGAGGAGGAGCAATGCTCTCGTTGTCAAAGTCACGAATATGTGAGGTGATGCTTTCCAATTGCCCAAAGATGTTCGCTCTCCTGGTTGCTATGTGCACAACTACTTCAATAAAAGATGCCTGTGTCGTGGGAGTGCGCCCTGTGATGCCTCACCTTATAAGTATCCATCCCAAACTTGTGCTCTTATTGTAAATGGCACTAGGCAAATGTTCTGCTGGAAGAAAAATGAACGGTACAAGTTCGCAAGGGCATAAGGTAAGCGAAGAAGAGAATATTGTTGTGTGTTTTTACAGCTTCTTATGCCATTTCTATATTTCAAAGTCACGACAATGTGAGGTGATGCTATCCAATTGCCCAAAGATGTTACGCTCTCGTTAGCTGTGTGCACAACCACACTTCAACAAAATGTGCGACTGTTGTGGGAGTGCTCCCTATGATGCCTCACCTTACAATTATTCATCCCAAACTTGTGCTCTTATTGGAAATGGCACTAGGAAAATGTTCTGCTGGAAGAAAAATGAACGGTACACGTTCGCTGGGGAATAAGGTAAGCGAAAGAACAGAATATTGCTGTGTGTTTTTACTTCTTATTATGCTATTTCTATATTTCCTCACCATACGGCCCTTGAAGTTAGAGTAAACTTAATTCGGCGCACCGAAGTTATTTCTTTTTACGGCTTACAATATTCTGGTTTCTGTTACTTTGTTTCTGGACTTATCTCGCCCAAACGTCTACGAGTGATTAAACGTTTAAATTGCCAGATATGAGATATCCCCGAGAGCCTGTCGCCGTCTGTTTTCCTCGTCCAACGCTTGACGTACAACTCTCGTAGGTACTGGATACTTGCTGGCGCTGGGATTGGGTTTGAATTGTCTTCTGGTTTTGTCTTCTGGTTTTCTGTTTTACGGTTTACTGTTTTTCGAAAGTCTCTCTGCCAGTGGCTGCTGTCGGTGGCCTGCCTGTCATTGTTTGTTGTCTGTTTGCTGTTCTGGTTTGTTCTCCCTATAAATTGCCTTCAGGCGACAGCCAAAGTGTGACAAAATTTGGCCCGCTTCAAGAGATATAAATAAATATAACAATTATTTGGGCATTTTTCAGGTAATTGTTCTGCCATTTCCATTACTCAAAAGTTATAGGCTATCGCATTTATAATTTTCGTATTATTTTAGGGTTTTATTCAAATGAGAAAACAGTTCACACGATCGCTTAGATGTCCCCAACTTGTAAAACATAAATACTTAATAGTTGAAGACTTTATTCAGCGCCCACACAGCAAACATTCAAAATGCAACACCCTTTTAAGCCCCTACTTCACGCTTAATTAGTCGCATTGTACAAATGGCTCTATCGCGAGGGTCTTAAACACAGTCTTAAAGCCAAGAGCATAAAACACGCTTTAAAAACCCAGAGAGAGGGTGAGAGAATGGGAGGGAGAGTGTATGCCAGCGACGACTCCCAGCCAAAAATGGTCAAAACATGAAATCCTATTAGACAAATTGAAATTACAAATGAGACAACAACGAAATTAATTTATTAATTAGTCACACTCCATTATGGTCAAACAAAGCTGTTGGCCTGTTGGCTTGTTGGCTGGCAGAGGGAAAGAGTCAAGACAGACGCAGCAGCGGCGCAAACAGTAGCCCCCAGCGGCTGCCCACGACATGCCGCTTGAAATGTCTGACAGATGGAGCTGAAGTTGAAGCCATAACTGATGCCAAAAGCTGTCGTTCGTACCATTCCTGGTGTGAAAATGCTTTTGTGAGAGATCCCATTTGGTGGGGGGCATGCAGCCTGACTGTTGCACGCAACAGGGAACGATCGCCTGTGAGTGTGTGTGTGGGTTGTATTGCTCTTCGGCTGAGGCTCTTTCTGCTGCTGCTGCTGCCTGACATAATCAATGATAAGCGATCGCTAATTAAAATTATTAAAACCAGAAATCTACTCAGCGGACAATGAAAATGAAAATTTGTGCCATTCTGGGGAGTCGCTGTGAGCGGATATCGGGGGATATCGCTATCCAGAGATCTTCTGTACCGCTGCACCACTGCACCACTGTAGCCAGGCAGGCACTGTACCGCTCTCTGTGAGTGCGGGTTCCATTTTCAGGCAAACGCTTGGACAGGTTGTTGGCAAGACAATTGCAATCGGTTTTTGGGCCTGCAGCTAGAGTTATCATGTGAAAATCCACAAGGAAGTATGGAGGAGGTTTCGACTCCTTCCTTCCCACTGCATTCATATCATTACGGGAGCATTTCATTTCTATTTCAGCCTTCATCATTATCAAGTCTTTTTGCGCTGCTGCTGCCGCTGCTGTTGCCCCGCGCGATAGCCATAAATGGCGCAAAGTGAATGCCCGACCAGGCCAATGAGGGAGGCTCATTGGGTTTGTTGGCCAAAACGGCATTCAACGTCATCCACTAAGGCGTTTCGTTTCGTTTTGTGTGCGCTAATTAAGACTTTTTCTGGGTGTCAAAAGGCAGTCTGCACTACCTGCCGAGCATAATTCATATTGTAGGCCTACATTCGTTTCCATTCGATTCGATTCGATACGATTCGATACGATTCAGTTTTCAGTTATACAAGTGGGGCGGCCTGCTTGGGTGGAGAAAGTTTGGTTGTGCTGGTGGGACCTTTTTTATATTTTTAGCGCCATAAATAAGCGTTTTTATTAATGGCAGCCCGCCCATTAACCCCGACTAATTAATTAACAAAACTCTGAAATATAAATGTTATAACCAGCAGAAACAAAAGGCGAACAACAAATATGCTGGAGGCGCTCGCTGGAACAACATTTCAAGCCCATGACTGAAGACTGTCAGTGGGGCATAGCTCGAGATTTTGATGTGCCGCTCTCAGGCCATAAAGCCACTCTCCAGGCACTCTTCTGGCAGTCCACTGATCTACCAATCTACTGCCGCTAGGCCACTCTTTGAATCTGCTTTGGTGATGAGTTTTCGAATGATGCGTATCCAATGTTTATTTGAATTTTTTCCATATCAAATATTTATGAGACGCTCGTTAGATCATTCATGAATGAAAGACCAGAGGGAATTTGTATACCAAGATCATGTTTAGAGGTAGCTCTTCTCTCTCTTGTATGAATGATATTTGGGAGTGGATGTTCCTCATCACTTTTTGTCTGTTGTTTTGAATCAATTTTTCAAACATAAATCTACAACAAACGCCCACGTTTGTATCTGTTTTATCCCCTTAGATATCCAAAATGATTTTTTGTGTATTTTTGTTGTTTGATTTTAACTAATTTGCGTTGCGTGGAATTTTTGTTGATTTTCTTTCTATCATTTGTTACCGTTCGGGCTGTGTGTGAAAAGCGTTTAGTAAAAAGCGGTAATAAATATTTAAACGCTGGAAGATATGAAGGAGAGCATTGGCATGGCAACGCAAAACAATGGGCCACATTTTACGGATACGTTGAAAATGTTAAAAAAAAAAAAGGTATTCAAAGTGGTGCTCTGATGACGACGATGATGATGCTAGCCGAGTGGTGGTGGCTCTCGAATAATCGTAAAAAATTCATTGAGGCAATTGTCTGGCTTTTTGCAGGCAGATTATCTGCAATATGTTGCCTCCCACAGGTCAAGCGTGGCACATCAATTACTTTGTGGCACAGGCGCAGGCACAGGCTCACAGACCTCCCTCTCTAGACAGGAAACACGCACACACACAGACAGACAGTCTGTGGATGTGGCAGGCACACAGACACAGGTTGACCTCTCAATTTAACGCTTATTCGCTTATAATGCCAGGAAATGCCACAGCATCTTCGATCGATGAAGGAGGCAATGGAGGATGGGACTTTGCTTGCTGTTGTTGTCTTTTGGCAGATACTTGATCTTGGCATCGGATTGTGCGTTGATTGTTTTATTATTAAGATGTTTGGATAGTGGAGAAAATTTAATTCCCCCACTCCCCTTCGGCTTTATGGCTATATTATTAAGGTAATCTGTGAAGATCTTTGCCGAGCCGCTGAGCTCAAAGTTGTCAACAATTTGGGAAAGCTATTGGGAGGCAGCTATGACAGGGATCGATTGAGGTATTTTGGGTTAACATTTGCAGCGTAGAAACGTCTGAGGATTGTCTAAAAAGTTGATCTTCATTGGAGGCAGAACTTAAATCTGGGGATGCTTTGGAATCAAAGCAGTATCCGGAAATACTTTGGCACTCGTTTTGATTATTCAAATAAAAGTAGATGTTGCCCGGAAATGCGCAGGCAAGATCTTCTTTCCCAATGCAAAATTATCCCAGGTAATCCAAGTATCTATGGAAGTAATAAACGGAGAATCCAGGTGCCTTGGCACTTGCATTCGAATAAAACACTCGTCGAGAGAATGCTTCAGGGAATCATTCCTTAAATGCATTTTCTTGAATTGCTTAGTGAATGCCCGATTGGCGATAGTCTCTCATTACCATCTTCATTCGTATGGTGGCTGCCACTTAATGTGTGTGCCACATGTGCAACAACAGCTACTCGTTTGGCCACATACATAAATCTAATTAGTCGATCCATTAAAGTGACACCAAGAAGGCGCCCCAAAAAACAGAAACCGTAGACAAACGGCCATTAGGCGGACTGTCAATGTGCTTTTATTATAACTTTTTATAATTCTGTCTGCATTTTGCCACAAACTTCACCCGCCCGACCGCCCTCTCTCTTTCTAACTTCCCTCTCGCCCTCTCTCTTTCTCTCTCTTCTAGCCATGTGGCGGCTGCAACATTTCATTAATCGAGTCACGACATTAGACATTCAACAGCGAGAGAGGGGCAGGCAGCCCATAACCAGGCATACAGGCAGGGATGAGGTGCAGCGGCAGGGGCAGGGGCAGGCGAACCAATGGAAAAGCCAAAAAGCCCGGGCGTATGGCAGAAATTTTCCTCCACTGCGCTTTTGGCCAAAAAAAAACAAAAAAAAATTGCAGCTTTGACAACTTTATCGCTGCAAAGCGATCGACAACACAAGAGCCCAGGCAGCCAGGGATGTCAACAGCAGGGCCGCTGGCTGACAGCAGCAACAACAACAACAACAACAGCAACAGGGCAGCGTGGAGGGAGGGGGAGGAAAACATTTTCCAGCCTCAAGGAAAAACTGTCAACGTGGCTCAAAAAGGAATCTAAATTAAATCACATAATCGCTTTGACGGATTGTCCCGCCGATTTGTTGAGTATTTTCGATTCAATTCTATGGCTCTCCGATCGAATAAAAGACTGACTCTTGCCCCCTGCGCCACAGATAATGCCACACACATGGCAACAGCCGTCTAATGGCTCCACTAATGGCTGCAGCAGCAGCAGCAGCAGCGGCAGCGGCAGGCATATCCGCCAGATTGAGAGTCTATATGGCTGCATATTAATTGCAATATCAGACTCCCCAGTCCCCTAGCACCGCAGCCAATCGCTGTGGCTGTTGTTTGCTTATGAGAGATGTGGTTGCTGCTGCTGCCGTTGCTGTTGCTGCCACCAGTGGCTGCTGCTGCGGCTGCCTCGTTAGTGCTCGATTTTTAGTTCAACGGTGCAATAGGTTGAAAATAGGTTCGTGTCTCTCTATCTTTTGGGGAGCAATAAGAGCGACAGCGATACACTATGAAAGTCAGGGTAAATCCTAATGAAAACAGCAGGAAATGTTGGTTTTTATTTCGCTGGAGCTTCTTTGTCTTTAAGCTGAGCAATTCCCTTGGCAATTCTCAAAATCTAATTGAGAGATGAACCAATGGAAATCAATAAAAATGGAAGTGAAATGAAGCTAATATTTTCAATATTTCAGCCATTAAAAGTCGAAAATAGTTCAGAAATTTCAATATAATTTCGAGCAATCTTCCTCTCAAAGGGATTTCACCATAAAACCTAACCTTTAAAGCCATTACAACTCTCCTAATCTTCTAGATTAGCTAATATACCCGCGCGTTGTGGCAGCGCGAGCATAACAATAGAATTGAAATGCTCGAAAGCTTGTGGCTGGCAGTCGTTGGGCTGTGTGCGGGGGCGTTGCACAAATGAACTTTCCCACACACTCGACACCAAATACAACATTGATTCAATTACGTGTCGACTCTGGCTCTATCCATGTGTGAGTGTGTAGCTGTAATTATGTATGTCAGCCATTGCATTGCATGTTAGTTAGCATTTAGCGCGGGAAATATTGTACAGCATTTCAGCTTCCTGCTCCCATAATGAGAGTCAGAGTCGGAGCAGAGCCGTAGTCGGTGGAGCTGCCACTGCCACTGCCCCTGCCCCTGCCCCTGCCCCCATATCATTATTATTACAGTTTTCGCACTTTAATTTATGCACCTGCTGCTGATTCGTGCAACGAACCGCCGCCCTGGCTTATGGCCCCCTGGTTATGGCCGCCCAGGCCACACCCACATCTAGACAGTAATCGATTTTTTGTCTATGGATATTTTTATGGGCAATAAATTTCACTTTCAATTCGATTATTTGTGTTTATTCGTGATAATTTATATTCCATGTTTTTTATTTTTATTCAGTTATAAAAAATAGAACATTAAGAATAAATGTAGGCATACAAATTGGTATAAAATGGCATATAAAGTTGGGTGAATTTGGATAAGGATTTTAGTAAAAATAAAGACATTGAATTTGGTATAACTTTAGGCATAAAAATGGCATAAAGTTAGGTCTAAATTGAGTTATAAATTGGGATGAATTCGGCATTCAATATGCAACATAATCCCCGTTGAAAAGTGCACTCTAATTGATCTGATTACACGATTTGTGGCACCAGCAATACTCATGACTCCTGACTCTTTGACACATTTGGGGGCAGATCCAATCGATTCACACACACACACTGCATTCAGCATTCAGCATTAGGCATTAGACATTAAGTATTAAGCACCTGGTCAACATTTCAGAGAGGTGCCTTGACCCGCAACCCCACCTCCATGCAACACATTTTCCGCTTGTGAACTTTTCTGAGTACCGAGAAAAAAAACTGGAAAAAAAACAATTGGCAATGCAGCGCCCGCAGTTTTGTATTAGTTTTTCCGCCGCTGCACTGCGTTTTCATAACAAAATGTTCTGCTGTGTTTTTTGGGTTTTCTGGCTGTGGTTTTCCTTTTCTGGCTATCAGTATCAGTGTGGCAGTTGCAGTTGCAGCCAACAAATCTGCAAAAGGTCATAAAATGTGCGCTGTATTGTTGCTGTTTGCTGAAGTTGTTGCTGTGGTCGTGTAAATTTTTACACGCCGAATCACACAGCCGCCAATTGTTTGACTATGCCTGCGCCTGCCCCATCTGACATGCAACATTGATGCGGACGGAGTGGAGTCTCTCTCTGGCTCTGACGCTGACGCTGACTCTGACTCTGAAGTTGGACTTCGACAAGAGGCATTCAACTGTCAACAGTTACTACCGAAACGACCGACAAGAGCCGCTAAATGCCGCCAAATAACTCACGAGAGGTACAACACGCTCCTCCGCTCCTTCGGCTGCTGCGGCTGCTGCGGCTGCTGTTGCTGCCATTTTGTCCGCAACTACAAATCACTTTTACTGCGCCGGTAATGCTGCTGCCGCTGCTGCTGCCCCCAAAAAGTCCGAGAGTTGAGCGAGCTCCGAAAAAATTATTTAAAATATAAATAAAATTCTCTAAATATTTGCGAGTTGATTTCCCATTTAGCCGCCTGCCTTTCAGCCTTTCAGCGGCGGGGCAATTAAGGTGCAATAATTTCGGATCATTAGGTTAAATTTGTCACGACCCGCTGCACGAACAACCCCACCACCGCCACAGTGCCCCAAGGGGGCAGGCAGGCAGTCAGGCAGGCAGCGACTGTCCAGACGGTCCAGACAGAATGTAAAAGCTCAACCGACGACGACTGCTCGGACAAGTCAAAGCGGGCTGTCCATTTGGTTGTACAAGTACGAGTACGAGTCCGGTGTCCCAGTGTCCCAGCCCCTGGCAGATTAGGCATAATTTTCAGTTTTTAGGTTTTTCATCGTACCACACTTTTCCCCCGCATTTTACGACTGCCGCTGCGGCTGCTGCTAGGTGGCACTCTTTACAAATTATGACACAATATGTTGGCCAAATTTGGTAAGCGGTTGACATTTGGCCATGTTTCTTGTCGATTGTCATCGCTGTGCTGCCTTCGTTGTCGTTGTCGATCGTCGCTATCATTGGCAGGCCCATTGGCGCGCTATCAACATGTGGCATAATGACAAGGAAAACGCCACACCGCAACACTGCAACATGGGGCACAAGCACAGGCACAAGCAGGCAGGCGACTCGCTGGGAAAGTGATGCCAGGCAACGCGTGGGTGATGCAGGTTTTTTATGTAAGCAAAAGAGGTGGCGAGAAGAGGGGGAGGGCTCAGGAATTGCATTCCACAAATCGATTGGCGCTGCGCACACGCACTGACCGCAATTTTGTGGCATGGTGGCTATGTTTTTTTTTGCTCAATGAATCATCGGTGGAGCGATGGGAGTTGCAAATAGAGGTGGAAGCGTGAGATTTAATAAATAACAAAAATAGTTGAGAGCGCGGAATAAACTTTGAGAAATTCTGGTACTTTAGAAACTTCCAAATTGATACTTTCGGATTTTATTAATTAAAATTGATTTTATTTTACTAATAGTAAAAAAATTTCCAAAAAAGGGTTTTGCGAATGGAAATACATTTAAAAAATAATAGGAAAATAAAAAGCAGAACCAGTAATCATTCGAATCAATAAATCACTTCTGTTCTATGCATATTTTTCAGAAAAGAAGTGCCCAAGAAGTTTATGCTGGAAAATGCAAGACTTGCGGAAATCCAGCAAATCCAGGATCCAGCGGAAAAATGTTTGCAGAAATCTAAAAGAATATTCTGCAGTCTTCAATTAACAGGTAAGTGCTTGCTATTATCATTATACTACTATTATTCCATGTTGTTCTATTATCGCAAACGATTATTTCCCTTGAAGATTTAAGGGATAGTTTCTCTGAACTTTAATTGAACCAAAACCAACACATAAAATCGATCACCCACTCAGTTCTTCAGCTGCCATCTCTAGCAATTATTGCAACTCACATTTGGCTGCTTCCCAGGGGACGACAAACGACAAAATCCGCGGGGCACGGCGTCGGGTACCAGCGATGTGTGTGGCATTTCTGTCACTTGACGCTGAATTATTTTCACGCCTTTTTACAAATGTTTGAATGGTTAGAAAAGCGCTGGCAGCGCCACAGCACCATAGCCATAGCCATAGCCATAGCGGGGGCGACAGACAAACAGACAGCAGTGCAGTGCAGTGCAATGTGTTCCACTTATGGCTAACGCCATGCGGCAAGGCCTCAGCATATAAAACTTGGACTCAATCCCAGTGCCGCAGAGACACAGACTGGGGCAGCATTTGGTGTGCGACGCATACGATTCGGACACGGACTCGCGACTCTCGGCGGTCACTATGGAGATTTGCTCATAAATCTGACAAACTCAACGCTAATATTTGCAGACTTCGTTAGACACACTGCAAAATGCATTTGATATGCCTTAAACGGGGACCTCAGCTCTTGCGACTCTCCGGCTCTAGCAGATCTCAGATGGGAGTTGCGGCCAGGGCCGAAACGAGTAGGTGGTGGCAACCAAGACGCTGTCGCTGTCCCATGCTTCTGCCACTGCCTCTCTCGATCTGCTGCAGGCTGAAGTCTCTGCCTCTATGCCTGCCCCAGTGACAAGTGTAAAGAGCTGACAAGGCGGCAGGCAGGCCGGCAAGTCACTAAAATGTGAAATGCGGACAACATTTTTATCAGATTATAACTTGAACGAATGCCTATAACCGATGGTCCACTAACCAAGTCCGAAATGGCAGGAAAAACTAAAGGAAAAGTGGGAGAAAAACTGTGCAGAAATTGTGGTAAAAATGAAAGGAAAATCTGGCTAAATGAGAGTGAATGGCGGCGGCGGCGGCATCTGTGGCATCATCGAGTCCGGGTGGTCATCATCCATTAATCTAAGGCGCCTCAACATTCACTCTCTTGACCTCAGACCTTTTGGTGCCACTCCACACTCCATTCAGTCTGTGACTTGTTCATTCATTTATTCACTCCCTCACCGTGTGTCTGTGTGGCTTTAAGAACAAGCAACTAATTTAATTTTCATTTATCATAAAGGCAACAACTAATTAATTTCCCGCTGAGTTGACGCTGCGCTGCTGCCTGTGTGCCTGCCTGCTGCTTGCACTTTTGATTTTGCACAGACATTTTAATTATTTAAATGCAGGCCGAAGGCTAAGTTTGAATCGCAAATCATGGCTCATAAATCCATCAAAATGGTCAATACCAATAGGCAAAGCAGCAGCCACAGCAGCCACAGCAGCCACAGCAGCCACGAAGGAGGCCAGAACACAGAGCCACAAAGTCTTGGCCAAGTGCCATGCAAATGTTGTACAACATTAAAAGGCTACAAGAACAAACCATTGAAACATGAGAGAGGCATGAGGCATGAGGCATATTGCAGAACAATTGTTTTAGTAGCAATTGTTGTTCTCGATTCGGTGGCAGACACACGGTGGGGACACTGCTGCACAGACACAAAACAATCTGTGTGCAGCGTCTGGTCTCTGGTCTGGTCAGACATTGACTTCCACTTTGTATCTGCGGCTGCTGTTGCTGTTTTTGGTTCACGATTCGCATTGAAATGTTACTTTTACGATAAGTCCAGCCTCCTACTGCCTCCCCTTTACCCCTCCTCCCTCGTGACCCTGAATTGTTTAGAATAATTTGCAATTGCCATAATATTTATTATGATTTATTAAACGCATTCATTCGCCTCTCTGCTGCACTGCAACGAGCAGCCTCTGTTTCGGTTTCTGTTCATGTCTGTGCCAAGGGCCCCTTGACTCTGTCTCTCGAGTTCTGCTTTGAGACTGCAATTAAATTGTTTACCTTTTGTGTGTCTCGGCAATTTATTGAAAATGCATTAAAATACATAAATAAATCGCTTGCCATTAGAGTTTTCATAAATTTCAACTCGTTTTGCGGGGCAATCGTAAGACAAAGCCAATTGAAATCCAATGAAAATGTCACCAAAGTAATTTGTCGGCTGTGGCTTTTCCCTTGGGACAGATAATGGAATAACTGTGGTGGAGGGCACTGCTGGAGGGGTTTCACTTGGGGAACTCTTTGGGGAATTTCTGAGACATCAACTGCCAATGAGTCAATTTAAATGTTAGGAATTTTAATTACCTTTCATGGGAGTAAATTCCTTAGCTGCATTCTATCTTTTCTCGTTCCCCAAAGCCTTCAGCTCTTCAGTATCTATTACCCTGAGAAAGGGGCACTTCTTTAACCTTTTTCGCCTTCGAAAGTGTCTCTAAATGTTTGCTTCTGCGGCGACAGTTTACAGTTTTTAATTTTGAGTCAAGGAATGTGGTAATAGTGGACATAGAAACAGACATTCGAGCTACTGTGGGGCGCAGGTCTATTAGTAAATAAAAGAGCTGCATGGAGGCTGAAATAATAAACGAATGAGAGGACTAGGATTCCCAACGATCTCCGCAGAATCTCCAATATCTCCTTCAAATATTCTCCTCCAACATTTCCACCTAAAATGCACAAAGATCATCCATCAGGCACCACTGTAGACCGCAGCATATGACAAATGTCTTCTAATTAGCCCCAGTGGCAGGCAGGCAATAGTCAGGCAGAGTGTGTGGCAGCCACATGTCAGCACGCGATGCAACCTGTTGCATGGCAAAGACAGTTTTGTTGCCCACAAAGAGCAAGCACAGCCGCAGCCATCTGTAGTTTGAGTGAAAGACTAATTAAAAAAGTGCCATCAAAGTGTGGCACACACACTGCGTGTGTTACGATGGCGATGGGCTGGGGCATGGGGCATGGAGCATAAAGCCAATGATTTTATGGGGCAAGCGCTGGGATATCGATATCGATGGTGGTGGGGGTGGGGGCACCCACTGGGTGGCATTTGCAACATGGCAACATGGAACAGCAGCCGCAATATAAACAAACACATGTTAGAGCCAAGGCTCTGCCTCAGACTCTGCCTCCTTCGCCTTCCTAGCTGCATCTGTGTGTCTGTGTCTAAGTCTGTGTGGCATGCAAAACAATATTCCCATGAACATGGAAACCACTTGCTACAAATTGTTGAACAAGAGGCAGGCAGCAGCAGCATAAAAAGCTCTGCGCAGTGCAACATTTTTAAACGGATGCAGATAACGATCGTCGAACACAAATGGTGCAGAAATAAACACGAGTGTAGATGCAAATGATATGATAAGCAGCGCAGTGCGGTGCGGAGGGGGAACGTACCACAGATTGTGGCAGAGTGTAGTAGAGGGTTAGGGGGCAGCGGGGCAGCGGGGCAGCCGCATGTCCATCACAAGAGCGCGGCATAAATCGTGGCACAAATGCAAATTAAATGATCAGCAAGCGATGAAGGGAAACGGGTTTCCACAAGTCCACAGCAGAAATTACTGTCACAGCGAGTCGCCTCCTAATCGAATGAATGCGCTGCTCCTGCCTCTTGTTGCTCCTCCTGCTGCTGCTGCTACTGCTCCTTCCTCTTGTCCTGTCAATTATGTGTAAGACGGGGAGCAAATCCAAAAGACTTGCGACTGCCTATTTGCCGCATCATTATAATCACGTGTTGATTGCTTTTTAAACTTTTGCGCCACAAGACGGAGACGAAGACGAAGACCGACGGGGCCCGGTCGACTGCTGCAGCCTGTCTCTTGGCCTAAAGAGTGGCCTAAGCAGGCCAGGCTCTTTTGCGTATCGTGCTGCGGGGCCTGGCCTGGTCTGGTCTGGCTTGGCCTTTAATTTCCATGCGAAACGAGGCGCCAGGCGGGCAAAAACATCGTTGCAGCAGACATAGCAGCTTGTTAAGCAAATGCTGATAATTAGGCGGCAGAAGCAGAAGCAGAAGCACTGCAGCTGCCACAAAACGTGGATAATGGGTCATTGGATGAGGCACAGGACAGGCAACAGGCAACAGGAAACCCCCCCTGTTCTCACTGGTGACATATAAAGGCATGATTAGGGAGGGGAGTTGCTGGGGCAGGGACTGTTGCATAGCGAATGACCAAAAATGTCTTAATTTCAACGAAAAAGAAAATGCAATCTATAAAAACAAAAGACTGAGAAACCCGCCCCTCAGGGAGGAGGACCCTTGGATTTTTGGGCTTAACCACAATTTTCCACTCCATGGGCACTCCAAGCTCCAGTCGCGTGTGGCAACCCACGCAAACTGCTGCCCAATGGAATTCTGTGGCAGGGTTTATTCATATTCATATTCATACGAGGAGTACTCGTGCATATTCACATTTAAAGGGAAGATGAAATTATAATGAAGACATCAACAACGAAGTAAATCGCCAGCCCACTTTGATTTTGATGGCCAAAAAGGTTTCATAGCGGCAGGAGGGGGTGCAGGTTTGCGACCTCTTACCGCCAGAGAAGAGGCCTCTAGAGCATGGAGGATGGGGGCATGGACTGCATCGAGAGTAGTAGGTGGTGCCCAAAACAAATTGCAGGCAATCGCAGAGGCCGTAAGTATGCTAAATTATCAAGCAAGGAATACCCTTTGGGGAGGGTATGGTGATGGATGCGTGGATTATGGCACGGACACATTTAAAAGAGAATAATTCTTAGCTGTGGTTGAAAGATATCTAGATGGAATAAGCTGTACATGTTGGAAAATAATGCCTTCTTAATGGAAAACATTTATAGAACTGTCTCCAGAGGTTTCTAAAATATTCCAGAAATAAAATGGCAAGGGTTTCCCATAGAAAATAGTACCTAAAACTTCATCAAACCTTCCAGAAATTTGTCTACTCACAAAATAAATATCTCTGCATTGTCTAGGACTAATCTTCAATCTCCAATCT